CAAGAATGGTTTGCTACTCATTCACCAGTGCTTTTCAGTTTGCAATTGCCACAGCCAACAATGTTCAGGACTCACCTCAAGCTGCCGTTGTCGTGGGTCTCCCTGGGGGTGGACAGAGATGACATTGAAAAAGCTTATGCTGTTGAAAGCCCCTCCATGGAATTACCCACCACATTTGAAGCCTGGGGTCAGAACTTGGAACAGGTCATTGACAGAAGTGTCCAAGACATCCATGCGGTCACAGGACACGGTCCAACACACCTCACCAGGGCCTACAGAGGACGTTGTCAACCACGAAAACCTGTCCGGTCACCCATTCACAGTGCAGTGAAAACACCACGCCATGGCGACTTTGACCCTATGTATGAGGTCACTACCATGCCAACGAAACGTAAAGTCACCCAGTTGAGGCGCATTCAGAATCTCTACAGACGCTTGCAAAAGAGTGAAAACTCCGAACAAACCACACAGAGATATGTGGATGAGATGAAACTGGAATGGATTGCCATCCTTAAATCATGTTGTTTTGGTCAACCATTTCATCACTGGATGGCAGGAGTACCAGAAATCGGCATGCCACCCTGGCCATTACCCACCAGCCGGTGGTTACATGTGGCAATGCAGGTTGTTCAACATCATGTCACCAGTGCCATTGCAGCAGACAAGAAGAGCTATGACAAAAAATCTCAATTCGTCCAGATGTGTGACAAAAAGTTTCGAGGATCCTCCCAAACTTTCATGGCAGTTAAATCAGCTCCTCCGTTGCCTATCACGGAGGTATACATGCCACACAAAGAAACATGTAATCTCACATGGAATCCCACTGACAACCAAGTCACATGCCATACCCATAATCCAGACCTTTTTAACACCATGGCGCCAGTAAAAATACAGGACTCCACTGGTTGGATTGTAGGCCTGCAAGAAGATGCAATTGTACTCCAAATGCATACCCTGCCGGGTACACAACCAGAATCAGCCGAGGTTAGCCAGGCTAACTACATTGTGGATCCCAAACAGGTTGCAGATCAACTTACTCACTTCTGGGCGCCTCTGTGGCAACAGAATCACCACATTGGACCAGAAGACACTTGGGAAGAGTTTCAAACCCTGATGAACCGCATGCCGCTGCCACCACGACCATACCACATTGATGACAGTTTGACAGCTTGGAAAAAGGCAATTCGCAAATTGAAAGCAAAATCAGCCAGAGGGTTTGACGCCATCTCTGCACAAGAAATCAAGTTGTTGCCTGACCCATTAATCCAACAACTCATCGATGTTTGTAATAACTATCCTGAGGGTTTCCCAGCGTGGATGATGCGATCACGGGTTTGCCCCTTGAACAAAGTTGATGAAGTGCCATTACCATCCCAAAGTAGACCGATTTGTATCCTCAGCCAGATCTATCGTCTTTACAGCGCGGTGTGGTGCTCTCAGGTACTCAGCCACTGGGCCACGTGGTTGCCATCAGATATCACAGGTATGATTCCTTCCAGAAGTGGATACAATGCTGCCTATTCCTTGCAAACTTACCTTGAATTGGCACATTTCAATCACCACCAGTTAGCTGGCATCACCTTGGACTTGATCAAGTGTTTCAACAACATCAGACATGAATGTGGGCGGCGCCTTTTGCTTGCCATTGGGTTACCAGCCACTCATGTTAACTGTTGGCATAAGAGCATTCAAAGGATGACCAGATTTTGGGAGGTTTCCGGCCAATCGTTTGGTCCTGTTCCAGCTACTTGCGGGTTACCAGAAGGGGACTCCCATAGCGTCCTTGCCATGATTTGCATTGCAGTTTTGTGGAGCTCCAACATCCAGGCATCAACCAGTCCTTCCTTCAAAGCATCCGCCTATGCTGACAACTGGTCTTGGCATTCTACCGAATTTGCTGATCATGAACCAGCGGCCAAGATCACTAATGAGGTGACTCAGATTTGTGGATTGACCATTGACTGGCACAAAACGTGGTTGTTTGCCACAAATACTAAACTGGCAAATGATGTCCTGCAGTCCATGCGTGACAGCATACCCATACAGGAACTGCAAAGACAACACAATGCAAGAGACTTGGGTTTTCAAATGCATTACTCTGGTACACGCCACTTGGGCATCAGGAAGAAACATTATGAAGATGGTTTGTGCCGTATTCAAAAACTTTCGCTCTTACATGTTGACCTAAGTACTAAAGAACATGTTTTGCAATCGGGAATTTATCCAGCCATTTTTTATGGGGCCGAACTTTTTCCCGTTTCAGATGACATGCTTAACAAACTTAGATCGGGTGCGGCAGAGGCACTGATAGGCAAATCCCAGAGCATGTCACCAGCAATACCGTTGCTACTTACTGCCAACACCATCCTGGACCCAGGGTACTATGTCGTCCTCCAAGCCATTCGGACGGCAATGCAATGGCTTGCAGTGCAAAATGAAACTGTACAGAAAGATTTCTTCCGGACAGCTGCACAGTTCCAAGGACTCAGTAAACAGACCAAGGGGCCGGCGTCCACACTCCGGCACTACCTGAACAAATTTGCATGGCAGATTGATGCTGAAGGTTTTGTGCATGTTGATGATTTTATTAAACTGCACTTTTTGCGTGACAGCTTTCAGAGTTTTCGGCACTTTCTCATACAGGCGTGGCAAAAACAGCTCATCTTGACACACACAGCGCGTCATTCTCTTTTTCATTTACCTGACATATCCAGGCAAGATACCGTGACAGTTTTGAAAAAGTTTTCAGATAATGAAAGACGCCAACTGCTACGTGAACTTGCCGGTGCATACCAATTGGAATCTCAGAAGCTGCATTGGACGGATAACTCTTCCGGAGCTTGTCCATTCTGTGGTGAAACCGACAGTAGGACCCATCGCCTGATGGATTGCCCTACATTTGCAGATACTAGAGTACCATTTCAACTAGTCCTTAAACAAATGCAGGATGAAGGCATGTGCTTTGATGAACATGCAGTCGTGCATTACTTGCCTGATACCCATTTCCATCATATCATGCACTTTCAACAACCTGAAGTTCTTGTGTCTCATAACATTCATACGTTTGCCATTCAGCGATCAAATGCCAATCAACCATTCAACATATACATTGATGGGAGTTGCAGCCATCCATCTTCACCTACGACTAGATATAGTGCGTTTGCAGGAGTCATAGATGTCGCAACCACAGATGACCAGAGACGACATTTGGCCTCCAATTTTTTGCTGCAAGGGATTTTTCCAGACACGCTGCAGGTTTGTTTTTCCGGCAGAGTCAAAGGTGAACAATCCATCAACAGAGCAGAACTTTGTGCCATGACCACTGCAGCTGCCATTGAATATGGTACCATTCACTCTGATAGTTTGTATGCGGTCAATAAGGTGACACAGGTGCGTTATAAACCGCCACACCCTTCCATGTCTAACAGAGATGTTCTCCATGACTTACATGCATTAGGCCTTGACCCCAGTCGTGTAAAAAAGATCAAGGCGCACAGGGATTTACATGCCTTGACAGACATGTTGGAGCTATACCATGCGCTTGGAAATTCCATGGTGGACACAGCTGCCAAACATACATGCATGGACTTGAATAAACCTTGGCAGCAGGAATTGGAGAAACAACATGAGCAGATGGAGTTGACCAAAACCGTGCTGCATTCAGTCATGTGCCTTCATGTACAACTTTTTCAAGCGCGTAGTGAAATGGTACAACAGATGTCCAGGCAGGAATCCATGATCATTCCAGATGAAGGAAAAGAGAATGTGCATTTTGTTGTGCAATCCCTGTGCTTCTGGCGCCCTGCAGAAACACAGCAACTGGTTTGGCCGACAGAGCATGAATGGTTTAAACATTTTTCATGGGGGGAAGAACTGGCAGACCTTATGCTACACTGGATGACTACACTTGAGTGGCCTACAGAACCACAAGGCCCTTTCGAAAAAGAAATCGGAGTGTCATGGCTGGAACTTGCAGTATCATTTAGCATGTTTGCACATCGGGCACTTCCAGTGATCCGAACCAATGGAGACGGTAAGAACAGACTCTTGCATGTTTGCGATTCACAGGATGTTGAAGCACACCATGTAACCATGCTTGACCAGGCCACCACGATGGCAAAGATGTGGAACCAATGCATGTTGTGGCTCCCAAGCACAGCATGCCCTACACATAAGCGAGGTTTACATACCAGCCTGTATACACTAGGTTTCTTGCAACAGACGAGTGGAGTCTCACCGCGACCAGCATTTTATAAACAGGATGAAACTATTCACTTTCTTCTTGACACTATTAAGGGGATGAGCAACTACAACGTTTCTTTTCATGCTCACTGGCTCCAGCCGAGAGAGCAACCGATGGTGGACGAAGATTGGACACAAAAGTGCGACAAACTGAAGTATGGACGCAGGGCAATGAAGTTGAGAAGATGAGGGTTCACACTACTTGCAAAGCAAGATTTTTTGACACTTTAGGGTTTCCCTATCTAAAGGATAGAGCAGCGTGCGGACTCCAGCCTGTCCTTTGCTTCTGCCGGGGACAGGCTTCTTTGGGAAGAGAGTGGGCCTTAATTCAGGTTAGTGAATTATTATAAATTACCCAGATATTATATATATATATACAGATAATAGCCCCCAAAAAACATAAAACATCATAAAACTATTTCCAGGATGTAAACGTTCGTCGATGCCTCACCATTTCCAGGTTATTCTGCAGAGTTTTCTGAATCGACGACAGGGGCAATACTTTACCGTATCGATCCACTGGAGGCACTAATCGTAGCAAAGCCACAGAATGACTGGGGTGTATATGTCAATATGTGGTAGGGTACCCTCTGGTAAACATACAAAAAGCAATTGAAAATAGCCATGTATCGTGAGTTTTCCCATTAATAGCATGGTGATTTTCCATAGTTATGTGGCTGTTTACAAGAAGGTACCTCCAATGTACTATATCCTAAAATGGCCACTGACAATGGAAAACAGAATCCAATCGTATCAAGGTCCTGATCCACAGCAGCGAGGGCTTGCAATGCGAACAAGTGGTGGAAGGTGGGCAGTTCTGTGGCCCCCCATAGATATCCTCTGGTAATTTAACATAGCTATTGAAAATGGCAATTTTATAGTGGATTTTCCCATTAAAAATGGTGATTTTCCATAGTTATGTTAGTTTACCAGAGGGTAGCCGTCGAACAGTCGAGCTTTTGTCATATATATTTCTCCAATTTTGACCATAAATAAGGAACCAACCAATGAATCAATGAATAAGGATAGATATGGATAGATTGAAAATGGGCGACACCTCCAAAAATTCGCGTATTTTGATATGTTTGAATGGGGAAAATCTAGTCCCAGCGGAGCTTCGTTCCGTTCAGTTGATCTAGTTCCAGGACGTATAACAAGTACTTGTAGCCTTGAGACAAACTCGAATGGCCTGTTGGCTGTTTAAGGTGGTCCAATTATACATAGACTGTATATTATACATACATACATACTTGTAGGATTTTGTAGGTCTTATTTTAATTTCAAATATACATATGTGTGCGTAATACATAATATAGAGAATATAATTTATGTATGCTGCAGCGCAACACATTGGGCAAAAACATGAATGCAACGCTAGCATGTTTCAGCCGGGTTGAAAGAACCAAACAGATGATGGGTGTGCACCATTCAATATGGGATAAACCCGAACTAGTTCGGCAAGTCAAGCAATAGCCAGGAGATCCCTTCGGTACACACAACCCTCGAACCTCAAAAAGTAGAGCAAGTGCAGGAATGTTTCGAAGAGCAGACTTTTCTTGCTCAATAGCCAATAACGTATCAGGTGAAATCACTTATATAGCACTTGGTTTCACAATAGTGCTGCTATATGTGTTGCTTCTGTTGTCACCACTGACAAGAGTCCGCGGGTGAGGGGTCCCTGCAGCGACATCGTGAGGATACAACGAGAAGCCTCGAAGACCGCTGAAGGGCCAGTCATAGTCTCAATTGCTTCATTGAACCGGAGTGGAGAGAAACAAGAGTGAAAACTTCAACATGTATGAAGCCTGGAACTTGACATGGATATAAACATAGTCATCAACTTTTAATCAACTACCGAACATCGTTTGCAACCCACAAAGTAAGTGTCGTTTGGTAACCCGCCTAGCCCATCTTTGGTGATCCCGAGGACCGGGCACCAAATGATGCTGGTCTCTGACATGGTCCTTTTATGGGATGCGGCTTTTCGCCAGCACCTGGAGGTGCCACAACTCAAACCACCTGGTGATTCTAAGGGCCATTTTTTCCATGGAACAGTGGATCCTTTTTGTATCTTAATGGTGATGTACTCTATGGATATATGTATGTTGATGGTGATGATTGGTGATGTATGGTGATGATTAGTCTTAGTAGTACATACCCCATGTATCCCCAAATCAAGGATCCCCAAATGAATAGATCCAAGACTTAACCAAGGTTTCGTTCGGGGATTATTTGAGATTAGGGGGAGTGCCGAAGTTTCTCCACTATAGGGACGAAGCTGTCCAGGGGGAGCCACAGGTCTTTGCAGAGGACGAAGAGCTTCTGAAGACGGAGTTTGGGGAGGTGCTTCGCCAAGTGTTTCTGATTGGTGAACCCGTGGCGAAGGGTGATTTGATGTTGCTACATATCCCGGATCCCTGTCTCCTGAAGTGTGCCAGCTCGGCCTTTTTGGATTTTCGCAACAGTTTTTCACTTTTCCAGGCAAAACATACTGGCCTCACAACGAGCTTTCGATAGTGGTCCAATGACTATAGAGATCTAAAGAGTTTGATGAGATATGGCAACGATTTTGCCAAATTTCGCAGGTTTGGACCGTTTTTTCTGGATTTTTCAGATATTTCCTGGCTGGAACATTCCTTCAAATCTTCGCAGATAGATTGGCTGGTTGGTGGTTTGGAACCATGGAATTTGATTGTCCATTTCATATATGGGATGTCATCCTTCCCATTTGGGTATGGGTCAAAATTAGGTACCCCAATAATTGGATGGTTAATACTAAACTAGACATTCACATCTTTGGTCCCCTTAACGGTCTTCCATTTTGACCCACATCCATTTTTCAGAGGGGTAGGCTCAACCACCAGTTGGATTTCTCCTCCTTGGATCGGTGTGATCCGAAGATTGGGTGATTTTGGAGCTGTTGGAGCTGTTGCAATGGCAGATGTTCATGGTACTACTTGGTGGCTCATCCCACGAATCGTAAATGGGTTATAACACCAGTTATAAATGGGATTTTTGTAGGGTTAATCCACTTATAATTGGGGTGAACTAAGCCACTTACGAGCCGTGGGATGAGCCACCAAGTACTGTTGGATCACAAACTGAAAATTTAGAAAGAATCAATCATTGTAAACAAGTCTATCCCCGCTATACCACTAAGGATTTGCAGATGTTTTTGTCACTGGTAAATCAGATCCACATTTTTTAGTTGATAAAGGATTCTCGAAGCCAATATTCAATATTCAATATCTGATTTGTGGTTTGGAACATGAATTTTGTTTTTCCATATATTGGGAATTTCATCATCCCAATTGACGAACTCATATTTTTCAGCGGGGTAGGCTCAACCACCAACCAGATTATTATTAACCATCATTAACCATATAATAACCATCATCATTAACCATGATTATTATTAACCATATATATATATGAACCATGATTATTATTAACCATCATCATTAACCATGATTATTATTAACCATCATCATTAACCATGATTATTATAAACCATCATCATTAACCATGATTATTATAAACCATCATCATTAACCACTATTAACCATATATATATATATTAATATTAACAATGATTATTATTAACCACCAAGCAGTGTGTCATTTTATCACTTGTTGCTATCCGCGGTCCCATTGGTGCTCCAGTCGTCGCCTATTGTAGGCCTTCAAGAAACTCACCGAGCTGGGTTGTTCTTGGTCCCAGGTATCCCGGCGAAAAAGAGGAAAAGTGTCATCAGCCACATGGCAAACATATGAAGAAATTGTGATTTCACATGAAATTTAACCTGATTTAAGCTGATTGAAGATTATTTAACATGATGTAACCTGATTTAACCATGATTTATCCATGAAAATGGTGGTTTGATGGTGATTTAACATGATTCAACCATCAAACATGAAGGTTTCATGGAGGTACAATGCCATATAAAAAGGGAAATTATCCTGGAAAAAAAAACTTGCCTAGGTAGGAAGTCGCCCATTAATTCAAATGGGAAAATTATCGAACTAAATGGGGTTTGATGACCGGAGGGTAAATATTCAAAAGGACGTAAGATGACCAAAGTTAACCAAAGTTTCTTACGCCATTTTGAAAAGTCAACTAATATTACGGCAAGACCCGGAGGTTTGCCCAGACTCGCAACGAGCGTCCGGGCAAGCCAAGATGACGATGACGATGACGATGATCACGGTGATGGTGATGGTGATGATGATGGTGATGATGATGATGATGATTTTGATATCTTCTTGAAACCCTATAGGAAACCCTAATGATTGTACAGTTAATTGTTCCATGGGGTCGGGGAATTTTGATATTTTCTTGAGACTCTATAAGAAACCCTAATGACTGTATGGTTAATTCCACATGATATGTAGAAACAACATGTTCGGGTTATATGATATGTAGAAGGAAAGTGTTCTGGTTAACAGCCTAGCAACATAATTGAACATAGATTTTTTCCTGTTGGTTGACGTCGTACAGATTTCCCTGGTATTTATGCTATTCTGGGCTTGGGCAATCCTCGGGGTCTGTGTGTAATATTATTTTATTTTTCCCTGACCGCTTTAAGTACGTTGGCTATCATTTGAACACATTATGTTTGAACAAAGCTGATGTTTTGAACAAGTTGCTTTGCATGATCCTAAAGTGAGCACGCAGTTCAAGCAGGTTTTTGACGCGTAAAGATTGTTTTGGAAGCGAAACAAAGGGGAGTGGGTTATTTTACCCACCTTGTTCAAAGCACAACAAAAACCTGAAGAAACCTGGTTGTGGATGTTCATCGCATTCATAAATTGTCATACTGCATACTTTTTTTTACATGAGCATGGCCGGATTTTTTTCGTGATTCCCAGTTGCGGTGAATACTGAAAAGACATCCAAAACGTTTGTGGGTCCATTGGCACCATTGGCACCATTGGCAACCGCGACCCAAAGCCATAGTTACCCTCTGGTAAACATACAACAAACTATAGAAAATCATCATTTTTAGTGGGTAAATCAACTATTTCCATGGCCATTTTCAATAGCAAACTGTTAGTTTACCAGAGGGTATCCTCCATTTCCCAAGTTGGAATGGCTTGAGAGAACCAGGCTTAGTTCACCTGGCTAAACATATCGGACAACTCCTAGTTATGTACGCTTGTTTTGACTGAAAATAGGCCACTCCACATCCACTGGTGAATCATCATAGTTCCATTCATATTATCATATTGTTCTTATCCAAATCGCCATTTGAAAGGTATACTCACTTTTCACACATACTAGTACCCAAATATCAAATGGTTGATTAAATATCTCATCAATATCCCATTACATACCCATGTATATTCACATTTGGGCTCCAAATTCCACCCAGATACCATAGAGTTACATAAATTTGGAAACCCACAAAAATATAAAACGATTGTTGACCATGCCTTTTTAGATTAGGATTGATTTATATTTAAGGGCTGCCGCCCCTGCCGCCGACCCCGGAAGAAGTGGCAACGAATCAAAGCAAATGGGCATAAATATTCTTCGGTGCTTCGCACTTTCAGGTCTTCCCCCTTTATCCTACGAATATATTTTTGTGAAATATATTTGATAGGTTTGAATGAAATATAGTTTATCAAATAGTTTGCTCTATATCCTAATATTTTTTTTTGCCAGGGGGGCAGGGCAATACTTGAAATACAACTCGACAGGTTGATCAGGATGACAGCTTTCATATTTATATATATATCTCTCTCTATTATTTTTGGCCCTATTATTATACAGATAGTGTTGCGCCGCACAGGTGCATGGTTGCGCCGCACAGGTGCATGATATTTTATCAAAGTATACGGGGCCCTTGTTTTTTAGATCCCCCACTTTGTTTTTTAAACCCCTGACCTCTTTCTGCTGTTCTGCCGTTTTGCTTTTGTGCTTCTTTGTTTGTTTGTTTGCGTTTCTGCTTTTCAGCCTTTTGCTTTTGTTGCTTCTTTGCTTGTATACTTCTCTGCTTCTCTGCTTCTCTGCTTTTGTGCCTTTTGCGTTGCTTGCTTTTTGCTTTTCCTGCTTCTTTGTTCTTTATGCTTCTCTGCTTGACCTGCTTCTTTTCTTTTCTGCTTCTTTGCTTTTCTGCTTATGCCTTTCTACTTCTACTAGTACTATTCCACCTTTTCTTTTCATCAGTCATGCGTTTTTGCAGTTCTACTTTTTGTATCCGCATTGCAAATTGATAAAATTATTATATACAGGAATGATTGCAAACTGATAAAACGATGATGCACAGGAATAATTGCAAATTGAGAAAACTATGATACACAGGAATCATTAGATGTACAGGAACAATTGCAAATTGATAAAATTATGATGCACAGGAATGATTGCAAATTGATAATTGATAAAACCTTGATGCACATAGTGTAAATCCTAACGCACCAACATTCATTTTGTTACACATTCAACAAGAAAGAAGGTACTCAAAAAGTCGACTTTTTAGGGACCTCCAATTCAGGTTATGACATGAGGTTGTCACCGCAGCAACAAACAGCCTCGTTGAAAGTATAGAAATTACAAAAAAGAAGCAAAATTATCAAATGGGAACCCCCCCCCGGGGGGGGGGGTTCCCATTTGCAAGTTTTTGGAAAGAGGTTCCCAGTGACAAGCTTGGATTGGCAGGAGCCACTGGTACTCTGATCAATCACCACATCCAAATAGTGACTATACATCTGTAAATATGTAGATGTATATATGTATGTAGAGACCATTATACGGTCAGTCCTTGTATGAAAAGAGATTGATGACACAATATAGGCAATTCACCCGAAAAAAATGAAGGACTGCAAATTGATAAGGTTATGATGCACAGGAATTATTGCAAATTGATAAAACGATGATGCACCGGAATGATTGCAATTTGATAAAATGATAATACACCGGAAGGACTGCAAATTGATCAAACGATGATGCACAGGAACGATTGCAAACTGATAAAATTATGGTGCACAGGAATGATTGCAAATTGATAAAACTACGATGCACAGGAATCATTGCGCATTGATAAAATTATGATACACAGGAATGATTGCAAATGGATAAAACTATGATACACAGGAATAATTGCAAATTGATAAAACTATGATGCACAGGAATGATTGCAAATTGACAATTGATAAAACCTTGATGCACATAGTGTAAATCCTAACGCACCAACATTCATTTTGTTACACATTCAAGAAGAAAGAAGCATGAGATTGTCACCTAAAATCAGATGAAATTTCAAACGAAAGAAGATACTCAAAAAATCGACTTTTTAGGGACCTCCAATTCAGGTTATGACATGAGGTTGTCACCGCAGCAACAAACAGCCTCGTTGAAAGTATAGAAATTACAAAAAAGAAGCAAAATTATCGAATGCCCGGGGGGGGGAGGTTCCCATTTGCAAGTTTTTGCGAAGAGGTTCCCAGTGACAAGCTTGGATTGGCAGGAGCCACTGGTACTCTGATCAATCACCACATCCAAATAGTGACTATACATCTGTAAATATGTAGATGTATATATGTATGTAGAGACCATTATACGGTCAGTCCTTGTATGAAAAGAGATTGATGACACAATATAGGCAATTCACCCGAAAAAAATGAAGGACTGCAAATTGATAAGGTTATGATGCACAGGAATTATTGCAAATTGATAAAACGATGATGCACCGAAATGATTGCAATTTGATAAAATGATAATACACCGGAAGGACTGCAAATTGATCAAACGATGATGCACAGGAACGATTGCAAACTGATAAAATTATGGTGCACAGGAATGATTGCAAATTGATAAAAGTATGATGCACAGGAGTGATTGCAAATTGATCAAACGATGATGCACAGGAATGATTGCAAATTGATGCAACTACGATGTACAGGAATTTGATAAAATTATTATGTACAGGAATGATTGCAATTCGATGAAACTATGATGCACAGGAATTTTTTGTAACCCGATGAAACTATGATGTACAGGAATGATTGCAAATTGATAAAACCATGATGCAAAGGAACAATTACAAATTAATAAAACTATGATATACAGGAATGATGGCAAATTGATAAAACTATGATGCACAGGAATGATTACAAACCGATAAAACTATGATACACAGCAATCATTGCAAACTGATAAAACGATGATACACAGGAATGATTGCAAATTGATGCAACGACGATACACAGAAATGATTGCAAATTGATAAAATTACGATCCACAGGCATGATTGCAAATTGATAACAAATTGATAAAACTATGATGGATAGGACTCATTGCAAATGGATAAAATAATGATGCACGGGAATGATTGCACATTGATAAAACTATGAGGCACAGGAATGATTGCAGACTGCAAATTGAAAAAAATATGATACGCAGAAATTATGGCAAAGTAATAAAACGATGATACACAGGAATATCGGAATACCCATAAATGAAACGCGAAATGAAACACTAAAGAAACCTTAAATAAAAACCTAAGAAACCCGAAAAAGACCTTAAACCGTAAAGAAACCCTAAATGAAACCTGAAATGAAACCCTAAAGAGACCGTAAATGAAACCTTAACTGAAAGCCGAAAAAAAATCGCATGAACGTTTGAAAACTCTCATGACAGTTCGCGATAAGAAGTCTTACATAAGACTCTAAATTAAATCTTAAATGAAACTTTAACGAATCCCTAAATGAAACCCTACATGAA